TCGGTCTGGGATTTGAACTGTGGAGTCAGCCACATGGGATCCAGCTGCCTTAATCAACATGCCACCTGCTGGACTCTAACTACTTCTTAATTGTCTTAATGTTGTAGCTCTGTGGCATATAGGCTTTGCAGTATTGAAGAAATAATAACTGTACCGAATATGGTAATGATGTCTTTGAGAACTTTTTGTATAACAAGCCCTTTGAATCAGAATAATATCCTGTACTCAGGGCCAACAGGTGGTGTGGTGGTTAAGGGCGTTGTACTCCCACATGGCAGACCATCGTTTGAGTTCCAGACCTGGTGGTTTACTTGCTCTCGCTCTCGTGTCAAATTAAATAAATAAATAAATAAATAAAAAGAATAATATCCTGTACAATGCAGGGTTAAATCTTTTATCTTCCATCTCATTTTGTTTATACCCTGGATGACTACCAGTGACTTTATGGTGTATACCTTCCCTATTTAAAATAAAGGGCTCTTTTTTATTTTTTACTTACTTAGTTTTTATAGAGATTTTTGCTATAGGGTGCGTGGGCTTCCCAGAGAGACAGAGACATAGAGATGGGAAGCAAGAAATCATCCCCATGGGGGGATGGCCATGCCACCATCCGTTCTCCATTTTCCATTCGTCATCATCAGCACACACGCACATGTGCCTAGCATTAGTTTTAAGCCGCTGGGTCAGGGACTTGAACTTTGATTGACTGTGTTGGAGTCCAGCGATGTAACCGTTACTCTATCTGTTGGTCCCCAGAGGGGCTCTTTTTAATAGATTGTAGGTTATAAAATACCTGAAGTGGTGCATTTTAAATAAACAAAGAAGGTGAAGGGACAGTATATATATAGCAAACCAAGGGAACGAGCTACTCCGTATAAATTAAGTCACATTTTACTTTTGAGCATTTTCATATGTAAATCAAAGAATCGAACATGTTGGATTTTTTTAAAAAATGTATTTCCATTTGTTATCATTATTGTTTTTAATTTGACCAGAGAGAGAAAGGGGAAGTGAGAAAGCAAGCGGCTAGGTCCAAAACTCAAACAGCAGTCAGTTGTGTGGGAGTCCAGTGCCTTAACTGTACCACCTGCTGACTCCAAACATACTGGGTTTTATAGAGTTCATCTCAGTAGGACTTTTTGTTCCATTTCATTTCAATCAGAATTATTTTGTATTTAAATTTCTAAATTGATCCTTAATTTTTTTCTTTTAAAAAATATTTGCTTGGGACCAGCAGTTAGTGTAATGGCTATGTCACTGGACTCCCACATAGTCAACCACGGTACGCGTCCCGGACATGGTGGCTTAAAACTCACGCCGGGCGCGTGTGCATGCGTGCCCAAGATCTCAAGAGGAGAATGGAGGAGAAGGGATTGCAGTGTGGCCATCCCCTGGGGGGTGATTTCTTGTTTTCTGTCTCTCTGTCTCTCTCTGTCTGTCTGGTGAGTGCACGCGCCCTATGGCAAAAACCTCTAAAAAAAAAAAAAATTGCTGGAGATTGGGACCAGCAGATAGTGTAATGGCTACGTCACTGAACACCCATGTAGTTGACTGCGGTTTGAGTCCCGGACCCAGTGGATTAAACTCACGCAGGGCACGAATGGAGAAGACAGGATTGTGTCATGGCCATACTCCCGGGGGCAATTTCTTGTTTTCTGTCTCTCTGTCTTTCTGGCGGTTGCATGTGCCCTATAGCAAAAACCTCTCAAAAAAAAAAAAAATTGCTGAAGGGTATGTGTACTTGCCAGAGAGACAAAGAGAGAAAGAAGAAAAGTGAGAAAGCAACCCCACCTCTCCATGAGTCATGGTCACACTATAGTTCTCTCCTCTTGAGATTTTTGGGGTCACATGCATGTGGGCCCTGCCATGGTTTTCAGGCCGCCAGGTCTGGGACTGGAACTGCACAGCTGACTGTGTAGGGTCCAGCAGCCTAAATTATCCCACCACTGGCTAGCCCAAGGCTAATTTTATGTTAAAACTGAAGACAGTGTTGACAGTTGTGAGATACTTTGTTTGCTTTACTGTATTTGTATACATTTTACATAGTGCCTGGTATACAGTAAGGGCTAAGTAAATTTAGTTTGACCTTAATCTTTACTTTTTCCACCTGAAATATTTCTAATATTTTTATTCAATTCCCCAAAACCCAATAACAGAATTTTTTTTTTTTAAGTTTTGCTATAGGGTGGATGTGCTTGCTGTGAGAGACAGAGAAAACAGGAAAGTGAGAAATTATACCCCAGAGGGGATAACCACGTTGCAGTCTCTTTTCTTCCATTCTCCTCTCAGGATTTTGGGCATGCATGGTCATATACCTTGTGTGTTTTTCCAGCCTCCAGACCTGGGACTCAAACTACACTGTTGGCCATGTGGAAGCCAGTTGCCTAAAGTACCATACCACCTGGCTAGTCCCAGGATATATTTTTTTTTAAGGAACATATAGTTTAATTTAAATACTATAAGTGGCAGTCATCCAGTATTTACAATAACCCTATCCCAATTTTTGGACAGGAAAATGGGAACCTAGAAAGGTTAAATAACTCAAATAGTGTCATATGGTAAAGTGTTTTAGCTAGGAATCAATTCCACATGTTCTCGCATTGTTTTTCAGTCTTTTTCTATAGGTCCATTAGCTGCAGAAGGCTGTGGCCACATTAGAGGCCCAGGTTTGAATCCTGGACCAACTTAACTTAAGCAGGCTGGATGTCAGTGTCACAGACCTGTAATCCTAGCTAACTGGCTGCTGGGGCAGAGGATCATAGTGGCAAGACTCTGTCAAAAATATCCCCTTTTCTCTGTCAGCACTCCACTCATGCTCCCCTCCACCCCTTAAAAAGGAATCTTTGGTATAGAACTGATGTTTAAGTGTTTTCCATGTGTTAGGCACTGCTTTGGGCTCCTTGGTTTCATCAGTGAACAAAACAAAGATCTGCTCACATAGTTTGTACTCTAGCCTAGGGATACAAAAGCAGTAAAGTTTTCTTTTTTTCCCCAAAGCTAAACATTACTTAGTTTGTTAGGAGGTGATAAAAATCTATAGAAGAAAAAAACGACTAGGATAGGGGGAGCAGATTGTAATATTGTCAAGAGAACAAGTAGAAAAAGGGTCCTGAGGGTAGGATAAGGGGAGCAGATTGTAATATTGTCAAGAGAAGTAGCAGAAAAAGGGCCCTGAGGGTAGAACCTGCCAGCACATTTTAGGAAAGGAAGTTAAGTACCAGACGAGAGAGGAATAGATGGAATAAGATCAGAAAATTAAGGGACCAGCAGATGGCATAATGGTTACATTGCTGTACTCCTACAGTTGGCTGTGATTCAGCTCCTGAACCCAGCAGCTTAAAACTCACGTCAGGCATGCGTGTGCCCATGCTCAAAATCCCAAGAGGAGATGGAGGAGAAGGGATTAAAGTGTGATCATTCCCCTTGGGGAGTGATTTCTTGCTTTCTGTGTCTTTGTCCCTCCAGCGAGTACACACACCCTTTAGTAAAAATCTCTATTTAAAATCTCTATTTTAAAAGGAAGTTGGAAATGGGAAGTATGCAGCACATGCGGTTTTGGGGGGTTTTGTAGGTCATCGAAAGGGCTTAGGTTATTACTCTGATTAAAATGAGAAGCTTTTTCAGGGCTTTTAAGAGAGTCATCCTGGCTGTGGTGACTGATGCTGAGGCTGTAGTTTAAAAATAATCTAACAGAGAGAGGCATAATCTAGGAGTAAGATAGTGGTCAGAGGCAATACTGAACAGATAGGTGAGAAATAATTAGATTCTGGTTTTGAAAGTTGAGATAATTGAATTTGCTGACAGGTTGGAAGGGAAATATGAAAGAAAAGATTCAAGGGTAACTGGTAACATCAAGGTGTTCAGCCTGAGTATCTGAAGGATGGGAGTTTCCATTCATTGGGGCGAGAAATCTTGCAGAGTTGAGTAGGTTTGCGAGGAAGATCAGTTCAGTTTTGGATATGTTACATATGGAATTTCTTAAAGTTATCCTGCTTAAAGTGTTTAGATTTTAGGAGTGAGATCTGGACTAGAGATACAAAGCTAGTTGGGATATGTTGTACAGATGCTCTTAAAGCCCCTCAAGGGAATGAGTATAGGTAGATAAGAGGAAACCAAGAACTGAGCCCTAGGATATACCGGTATTAAGAGATACAGAGAGGACAGCTAGGCAGTATGGCAGTTAAGGGGGCTGGATCCTACATGGTTGACTACAAGATTAGAGTTCTGGACCCTGTGACTTAAAACATAAATTAGGCTTGTGTGTGAGTGTGCACAAAATCCTGAGAGGAAAGTGGAGGAGAAGGGATTGCGTTGTGGTCATGCGCCCTGGGTGGGTGATTTCTTACTTTCCTTCTTTGTCTCTCTGTATTTGGCAAGTGAACACATTGTACAGCAAAAACAAAAACAAAAGAGAGAGAGAGAGAGAATAGAGAAGAGACATTTTCAAAGGAGACTGAGAAGGAACAACCAGTGAGGTAGGACATAAACCTCTGGAGAATGTGAGTTGGGAACTCAAGGGAAGAAAGTAACCTCAGAGGACCTAATGATCAACTATGTCAGATTTTACTGATAGGTAGCATTAAACTAGAATAGAAAATTGTGTCTAGTGGGAACCAGCAGTTAGCATAATGGCTATGTCACTGGACTCCCACATAGTCGACCGCAGTTCGTGTCCCGGACCCGGTGGCTTAAAACTCACACCGGGTGCGTGTGCGTATGTGCCCAAGATCCCGAGAGGAGAATGGAGGAGAAGGGATTGCAGCGTGACCATCCCCCCTGGGGGGTGATTTCTCGCTTTCTGTCTCTGTGTCTCTCTCCATCTGTCTGGCGAGTGCACGCGCCCTATAGCGAAAATCTCTCGGAAAAAAAATTGTGTCTAGTGGTGTGAAGGCTATTGGTTAATTATGGGCCTTCAGTAGGAAATAGACAAGTTAATATTATTTACATAGTTTTTAAATGGGAATTTTTGATGTTTACAGTATCTCCTTTGCCTTGTTCAGGTTTGCCATCCTATTGGTGGTATGTCTGACAGTGGATCACAGCTCGGTTCAATGGGTAGCCTGACCATGAAATCACAACTTCAGATCACTGGTAAGTCTTTAAGACTAACTACTTTCTTTTCCTCAGGTTAAAAAAAATCATCTTAAGAGAATAAATTTTTGGGGACGAGCAGTTAGCGTAATGGCTATGCCGCTGGACTCTCACATAGTTGACCACGGTTCAAGTCCTGGACCCAGCGGCTTAAACTCACGCTGGGCGCATGTGCGTGCGTGCCCAAGATCCCAAGAGGAGAATGGAGGAGAAGGGATTGCGGCGTGGCCATCTCCCCTGGGGGGTGATTTCTTGCTTTCTCTCTGTCTCTCTCTGTCTTTCTGGCGATCACATGCACCCTCTAGCGAAAACCTCTCAAAAAAAAAAAAAGAGAATAAATTTTTTAGTGATTGTTACATATCAAATGCTAAATTAATATATGCTGAATGGATAAATGAATAAAATGATTAGGTATATAAAATTACATTTCTATCTGAGAATATTAGATATTTTAGTTTTTCTTTCCCCTTTTTATTAAATATAGGTGCCTGGGCAGTTGCTATTGATGTTTTTGTTATATACCTTTGTTGTTGTTGTTGAATGTATTGATAGTTTATTATTTTTATTTTGGAATAGTATTCCATTGAAAGGGTATGTAGTTTGCCTAGCTATCACCTAATTTTAATCTATCCTCCTATGGTTTTTCTACCAGAATGGTTCAGAGAGTCTCAAAGTACAGAAGGAGGCATTTTTTTTTTTTTTTTTTGGCTGGGCATGAGTGTTAAAAATACAGAATTCTTGGGACCAGCAAATGGTGTAATGATTACGTCACTGAACTCCCACATAGTCAACCATGGTTCGAGTCCTAGACCCAGTGACTTAAAACTCATACTGGGTGTGTGTGCGTGGATGCCCCAAATCCTGAGAGAATAATGGAGAAGAAGGGATTGTGGCGTGGCCATCTCCCCACGGGGTGATTTCTCACTTTCTGTCTCTCCATTGAGCACATGCGCCCTATAAAATCTCCCCCCAAAATGCCATTTCAGATCCACTTAATCCAAATATCTGTAGTTGAGGAGAAGTGTAATAACATGTGTAGTTCAAGTAATTCAGTGTGGATAGTATTATACTGGTTACTTTTTAGTTGTATTAAGGTAGAAATCTATGTAGCATGGTCATAGTTAACTGGCTTTTTGATCTCAAAACTCATTCTCCAGAGGCAATTAGTTGTTTTGATCAATACCCTGCATTTTTCTAATTAGAACAATAAATGTCAGATTTTTTAAAAAATGAGGTAAGTTACATATCATATTAGAAATGGATTCTCATTGATGAAATTAAAGTATTAATATTTTAGAGACATCTTCCATCTCTTGCATGAACAAGTTATAAAATATCTAACAATGTCTGTAGTCTTTACCCTTATGTCTTGGAAGTTATGCCAGATCTTTTGTCCATCCATGAACTTGGAGGACAGTGATGACAAGATCTTCTCAAAAAACTTGTTTTGCCTGCCCAGTTGCATCTTTCGGGTAGAATAGTGTGATGAGAATTACCTAATGGATATAAAACCTAAAGGTATGTCAACATTTTGTCATGTTCTCTCTTCAGAGCCTAGAACAGTACCTGGCACAGAGCTGGCCCTTAGTAAATGCTTGGTGAATTTTTAAATGTGCTCTATTGTTTTATAACTTCCTAGTGGTAACCGTAGTCACAGAATTAATTAATCCTTAATTAGTGGCATTCAAAATCTTCAATAGACAAACTCTTTTTTTTTTTCCTCAGAGTCAGTTCTTCATTTTATTATCAGTGTAACATTAGAACATCATCTTGCCTGACCGCCATTTTCTTTTTTTTTTTTTTTAATTTTAATTTACATTTAATCACATATATCTTTACAGTATACAACATTGCTTTTTCCAGCGTGAATACCATGCCTGTCAGGCAAGACAAAGACATTACTATATACATTATCATCAGCAAATAGCTTTTCATTTTTTTGTCAGTTACTTTTTTTTTTCTTCCCCCTTTCCTCTCTCTCCCTCCCTTCCTCTATTCCCCACCCCACTACTACCCTTATCCTTACTATCTCTGGTATCAGTTGCCCTCCCTACTACTATACCATCCAAACTTTCATTTTCTGCTGTTGAGTACAGACAATTGGTATGTATTGAGTGAGGACATATAAAGTCTATCTTTGATAGTCTGGCTTGCGTTACTTAACATTAGGTCTTCCATATTCATCCACTTTGTAGCAAGTGTCAGGGTCTCATTGTGTTTTTGTTTTTATTTTATTCTATTTTATTTTATTTTAATTTAATTTAATTTAATTTTATTTTATTTTTATGGCCGAGTAGTATTCCATAGAGTACTATGCCACATTTTTCAATCCAGTCACCTATTTTTGGTCATTTGGGTTGATTCCATGTTCTAGCAGTTGTAAATAATGCTGCAATAAACATGGATATGCAAGTGTTTTTCTGACTGTGGGTTTTTTTTATTCTTTTTTTTATTCTTGAGAGTGGAATGGAATTACTGGGTCGCATGGTAGTTATATTTGTAGGTTTCTGAGGAATTTCCAGATTGTTTTCTTTCTTTCTTTTTGAGAGGTTTTTTTGCTATAGGGCATGTGCATTCACCAGAAAGACAGAGAGAGACAGAGATAGAAAGCAAGAAATCACCCCCAGGAGGGATCGCCACACCACAATCCCTTCTCCTCCATTCTCCTCTTGGGATCTTGGGCACGCATGCACACGTGCCCAGTGTGAGTTTAAGCCACTGGTTCTGGGACTCAAATCGCAGTCGACTACCTGGGAGTCCAGCGACATAGCCATTACACCAACTGCTGGTCCCTCCAGATTGTTTTCTAAGGCAGTTGTACTAATTTGCATTCCCACCAGCAGTGTAGGAGAGTTCCCTCATCACCACAGCCTCACCAGCACTTATCATTATTTATTTTCTTGATTTACGTCATTCTGACTGGAGTTAAATGGTATCGCATTGTGGTTTTGATTTACATTTCCCTTATGATAAGAGATGTTGAGCATGTTTTCATATGCTTTTGGGGCATTCGTAGAATGTCTGTCTTCAGAGAATTGTCTGTTCAGCTCATTTTCCCATCTTTTAATTGGATTGATTATTATTTGTGGGTAAGCTGCTTGAGTTCCTGTGTATTCTGGTTATCAGTTCCCTATGAGAGATATAGTTTGCAAATATATTCTCCCACTCTGAGGGTTGTCTTCTCACTCTACTTACTGTTTTGTTTTGCTGTGCAGAAGCTTCTCAGCTTAATATAATCCCATTTTTTGGTGACTATTCCCTGTGCTTTGGAGATCTTCCTTAAGAAGTCTTGGCCTACTCCAAGATTTCCAAGAGTTTTCCCTGTGTTTTATACCGCTACTTTTATAGTTCGAGGTTTTATGTTTAGATCCTCAATCCATTTTGAGTTAATTTCTGTTAGTGGTGAGAGAGATAAGGATCTAGTTTCATTCTTCTGCAGGTGGGTATCCAATTCTCCCAGCACCATTTGCTAAAGAGATTTATTTTTTCCCTCTGGATTATGTTGTGCCCTTTGTTGAAAATCAGTTGGCTGTATGTTTTGGGGTTTATTTGGGGGTTCTCAATTCTGTTTCATTGGTCTACCTGTCTGTTTTTGTGCCAATACCATTCTATTGTAATTACTACAGCTTTGTGATATGTTTTGAGGTCAGAAATGAGATGCTTCCTACTTTATTCTCGCTTTGCTTTGTCAATATGGGCCCTTTTATGATTCCAGGCAAATGTTATGATTGTTTTTTCTATTTCTGTGAGGAATATCTCTGGTAGTTTGATTGGAATTGCATTAAATTTGTAGATCAATTTGGCTAGGTTGACATATTGATTATATTAATTTTTCCAATCCAGGCAGGTGGGATGTTTTTCCACTTTTTTGTGTCATGTAAATTTTTTTTTTTTTTTTTTTTACTATTTCATAGTTTTCTCTGTAGAGATCTTTGACAGTTTGGTAAGGTTTATTCCTAGATTTTAGTTCTGTGGCTATTATAAATGGGATTTCTTTCTTTCTTTGTCCATTTTTGGTGTATAAAAATGCTATAGATTTTTGTATGTTGATTTTGTATCCTGCCAGCCTTACTATATTCATTTATCACTTCCAGAAGGTTTTTTTTTTTTTTTTGGTGGATTCTTTTAGATTTTTCTATGTACAGCATCATATTATCTGCAAATAGAGATAATTTCACTTCTTCTTTTTCTTTTTGGATGCCTTTTATATGACTCTCTTGTCTAATTGCATTGGCTAGAACTTCCAGTACTATGTTACAAAGGAGTGGAGAAAGTCTTGTTCCAGTTTATCATAAAAAAAAAAATCAATTATGATGTTATAGGTTTTTCATAGATGGCTTTTATTGTGTTGAGGAATGTCCCTTCTTTACCGATTTTGCTGAGAGTCTTAATCATGAAGGAATGTTGTATTTCTTTGAATGCTTTTTCTGCACTGATTGATATGATCATATGGTTTTTATCTTTCCTTTTGTTAATGTGATATATTTGTTGTTTTGCGTGTGTTGAACCATCCTTGCATCCTTGAAATAAAGGGTACTTGGTCATGGTGTATAATCTTTTTAATATGTTGTTGAATATGATTTGCTAGTATCTTGTTGGGAGAATTTTTGCATTTGTATTCATCAAGGCTATTGACTTGAAGTTTTCTTTTTTTGTCATGTCTTTGTCTGGTTTTGGAATTAAAATGATGGAGGTCTCATCGAATGAATTCAGGAGGGTTGCTTCCTTTTGAATTTTTAGAAATGGTTTAAGGAGAACTGGGGTTAGTTCTTGAAAAGTTTTATAGAATTCAAAAGTAAAGCCATCAGGCCCTGGGTTTTTCTTTCTTGGGAGACTATCTGTTTCTGCTCTGATTCACTCTTATTGCTTATATGAGTCCAGTCAGACTTTCTATTTATTCTTGGTTCAATCTTGGTAAGTTATACATGTCCAGGAATTTGTCCATCTCATCTAGGCTTTCTTGTTTGTTGGCATATAGTTGATCATAGTATTCTTTGATG